AGAAGAATAAATCTGAGAAAAATAAAGTTCCTAGAAATATCTTAATATAATGTAAAGCCTGTTCAAGGATCCTATGTTGATATGATGATTGACCTTAAACGCGTTGTAATCTTATCGGACATAACTATAACGCGATTGATTTTCCTTGTTACATATTCATAAAAGGAACTAATATATATTTATGTAATTACTAATATAAGGAAATAATATATATTTATGTAGCTTTTGACTATTTTATTCGATTATGCGTATGTACATATGGAACTAGATTAAGGTTGTAAAATTTATTAAACTAATTATTATTGAACGCCTAGTCTAAGAATTGAATAAATAAAATTGATTACCAGCAATAATCAATTGCTTCATTCGAAATGCTTTCTTCCCTTGCTTTCATTGCTCTTCAGTGGATAAATTAGTTATGGAAGCAAACCTTGACATCTACAATAGGCTAGAAAATCTAGTCTCAAGGTGACCCAGTTTTCAAATACGTTCAAGGAACTTCGATACAGGTGACTATATACTATTATAACACGTGTCTGCATGTCATGATGCCACTGAACGAAATAAAATGATTAATGAAATAGGCACGAAAAGGAATTTTAAATGCTAAGTAGTAGAGCAGCAAGTGAAAACACTGTAAGTAATTATCATGTCCCTCTTCATAATTTATCTATTTCAGATAAATGACGTTTAACGTTTAATTTTCTTCCTCTCTTGTTATAGAAGGTCAATCTCGCATGATAATTGTTAAATAAACATCAGAAAATTATATTGTCATAACTTTAGTCTGAAAGTAACAGTAGTTGGATTACTTCGTCAAGGTTTCATGAAGAAAAAATAAACATGTAAGAATATAATGTATGTAAATAGTACGTAGAAATTACATGCAAAGAAGAATCTGAAGATAATTATTTGACTAAACAAATTCACGAATGGGAAGCGATGATTCAAAACGTGGCCATTAATCGATTCTCTTTCTCATTATAAACTGAAAAGTCAGAAATACTTAATTTATTTATGGAATGACAATAGAATAAAATACATGAATTGCTGATTATTCCTGTGAATAAATTTGTTATCGAGCAACTTGGAACAATTGTGACAAATCGCTATTATAATTCTCTTATAAAAATTGAATTATTTTAATTATCTTTTTATAATCTTTTCCTTAAGATATATACTTGATATATACTTGATAAAAAATCTGAAAATAATAACTTTTCATAATCTTTTCCTTAAGATACATAGTTGATACATATGTGATAAAAAATCTGAAAATAATATTTTCCTCTAATAGATAATTGAAAAGATTATGTAAACTTGATTATTTGACTTAATTTCGTCTGCTTGATTCCATGCATTTAACCTAGAATTAGGCCAAAATGAATCATGATTAATTGTTCGAAGTTTAATAAAGAGAATTCTGTTTGATTCAAGAAACGAACAAGCATATTCATGTAGCATGTGTTTTTCCTTACACTGATCCATAATGACGCAGTTTAACAGAATAGTTATATCTACATATGTACATACAACTGTTACGACAAAGAAGTAACGTATCATAAATTATTGTGAAAATTATCAGTGCAACTTTGGTTTTGGATGACTCGTAAGAGTCAAGTACCGGCTCACGCACAATAATCTTATCTTATTTACGTATATTACGAATCGTGATTTTTTATTTTTCCTGATTTTCATCTCCTTGAATGTATTTACAAAATATTTCTTTCTTTCACTTTTTTTTATACACACTTAGGGTTAATCAGCAATCTGGTAATAGCATTAACTGCAATGAACGAAAGGTTAACTTCAAAAGTTGAACGACCTAATTTTCCATGTAACACTCACTCTCGTAATTGTCGCCTTAATAAGGATAGATTAACGATTAATTAATTTCAATGTGAATAGCTAGGACTGTTGGTGCAATTAATATGTATAATGGTTTTGTTTTCTGTTTTTTACGTAACTTGGCGGTAGTTTTGTCGAAACATAAGTAATCGTTAGAGGGACGCATTAGATGGAGCTCAAGCATTAATTAATTACATAAGGTCTTATTCAAATGAGTGTACGATTTATATTCGGTAAAATGATGATGATTGTAAAAACGGATTTTCTGAATGGCATTATATTCATCTCATATTTATTTTATTCGCTTATCAAATGGTATCATTTTACAATGTAATAATACTGAAGTTACAACATTACATTCAACGTTGATGAATTTGTTGTACGTACCACTTGTCATATGCACATGTAAAACTAAATTCTTACTACGTGATTGGACATATCTTGAACCTCCTAGTTCGAAACCTCTAATTACATTCTCAGAAGCAATTCTGTGATTTTGTCTTTTAATCTCTTTTTCTATTCAGAAACTGAATAAAAAGTATAATACTCAGTAAAGCATGTGAATTATTATTAGTTATCGTGTTACGAATGTAAGATGGAGAAATTTATTTATAAAAGGAAAAAGAAACAAGATAAATCTTCAATTTTAAATAGTAACAGACGTACCTGGAAATTTTCGGGTGCCATGTTTGAATTAACTTTATAACCTCAAACCATAATACTCTATATTTGGATAAGCCTGATTATCCTTTTGCAAATCAAGACGTTCTTTTTATTCCGACGCAGATATAGACAGATGATTTCTGTTAGTGATTCAAATAGTGTATTGTATTTTAATTAGCACCATAACGCGACGGCGCGAATGTGATATTGTATTGTCAGTGTGGCGCCTTCGTAAGGCATCTTTCGATGCAGCCGCAGAATCGTATACCTACCACGTGTGTAACATTTTCCGCAGCGTCATGCCAATTATTTCTTCTCCTGTAAGTTTCAATTTTCTCGTATCTCGCTTTCCGAGAATTGTCGGCGTGTGGAAAAGAAATTTGCACAAATTATGGCTTATTATCGCCGCAAGAGAAACATAAAACTTTATCTACGCATACCTTGTGCTTTATGTGATAAATTAAAGTTACGTATCTAGAAAGATTTATCTGCATAAAACATTTTCAAATTTAAAGTATAATCAAAGCATTTGATCCGATTCAAATTAAAGCATTGAAGTTGATACTTCTAACAATGATGTTTAATTTTTAGTACAATGCAATATAATTTATCATATTACGGACAAAAAAAAAATAATTAGTAAACATAGTCATAGTTTAATGACTAATTTGTGAATAGGAGAGTGTGTGCTACCGACGTGTAAACTATCTCATAAGCTAAATTGCGTGCGATTTACGCATAATTTGACCAGATGTCGTAAATCAAAGTTGTTCTACCGGTTTTCTGATTATCTTACAATAAATGATCTGTGGCGAATGAAGTTTCAATCCACGTCGAATGCACATTGGTAATATGTATGTGTGCATTATGAAGATTGATGTGTATTGCGTGCACATACATGTACTTAATCCGGTGTTTACTTATTAAATACATATTAAGAATTGAACCAAGTATTAGGTCCGAAATTGAAACCTTTATATTTTATATATTGTTTATTTGTTTCTGAAGGAATACTTTAACTTTATAATTGTTTTTTTTTTTTTTTTTTTTTTTCTTATCAAATCTGATGTAAAAATCGTTTCTCCTAGAATTCCGAATAGTTATTGAAATGAAATAACTTTGAGATTTAGGTGATCGTTCTCAGCTATTTTTAGACTCCGACGCGCGCATCCGTTAGTGGTTACCGTATCACAAATTGCTGACGCTTCTATATTTTTGAGGACAATGTCCGGAGTTAACGTCAAGAAAATGATCGATGAGTGCTGTTCTCAATGGAACACTTTTCTACGAATTCACTCACGAATAGTGTTTTTTTTTTTTTTCCTCTGGCATACTAGCAAATATCATTATCGATCAGTTTTTTTTCTTTTTAGTTTGTGCATTTTCCAGTTATGGAGAGATTTGTAAATGTATACATCATGATTATGTAAGAAGAATTTTGAAATAAGCAAGATTGCATAAATGCTGGCCCGAAATAAATGTCTAAATTTACTGTCATTCTGCTGCTTTCAGTTAATTTCCTATTATTTTTAATTATCTAATTATAATCTAAAAAGTAGATAAATTTTTATTTTGCTAAGAAATATAACGTGGAGGATGTAGTTAAAATGTTATATAACATTAAGATTTTATAAAAAAAAAAAAAAAAATCAAATGATTCAGCAAAGATAGCCTTTGTTTAAGTTCTACCATATTTGCATTATATGATAATATTAGCGAACAAAGCGTCTTTCATTTATTGGCCAAGATAATTATGTAGGTTATATTTACAGTATATATATATATATACATAATATTTCATTCTCCAATTGTAATGTACTTAAATAAATTCATTTACATGAAACTAAGCGATATTTAATTTATTTCAGTATCAGTTTTATATAACTTTATAAAGATTATCTACGTTATAAAGATTATGTATGTATGAAATACTTTGGTCAGTCATTGCCACATAACATTATCTAACTTAAGTTTTATTTAACTTAATCTGTTTAATTTATTTGTTTTATTTTTATCTGCTCGTATTGATCATAGACATAATAATTTTAATCTGGGGGCAAAAATCAAAATGTATGGCAGTCTTAAATATTTCAAAGATTCAATATTATCTAAGATTTCAGAGATTTCAAAGCAATCAAGAAAATTGATTCCAAAATTTCAATTAAAGAGATTTTAAAGATTATCAATTTATAAAGGTTTAAAAGATTTCGAAGTTGTTAAGAGATCAAACACTTGAAAATTATTGAGGAATTATAATATAAATCAGACCATTCTGTCAATCCTAAGATCACTATATAGATCACTATAATGCTAAATAATTGCCTTCAAATCTTTAGAATTTTTGTCATAAAACTTGGATATCTTTAAAATTTTTAAATCTTTTAAAAAGAATATTTTCTATTATTCTAATATAAGTCTTTTGTAATCTTAACGAATGTTTATTGTCTTATTTTGGATTCTTATGATATTGTGAGAAGATAAGAATAATTATTAACGTTGTGTCAAGTAACATTCATGTATTTATGTTAATTCTTTTCATGTCAGGCAGGCCACAGTTTTACATTTCCGCTTATAGGCACCATTAATGCAGGCAGAACTGCAAGGCCGGTCTTGAAATTGAATACTGCCTGTAAATGATGCTTCACACTTTATGTAATACATAATATTTCAACTCTGCGTAAATCAACTGATTTCACTGTTGCAGTGTAATAAAAGACAAGTTTTTATTTTTACAAAAATAACTATTTTTTATTTTTACCTCAAGTTTGTAGCAGATATTTCATTCTTGTAATATCCATTCAAATATTAATCTTTAAATTTTAATTTCAAATTTTTATTATCAACTATGTCACAAGTTTCATATGCAATGACCTACAGTAAGAAACGAAAATATTATGTTTTATTTCAATTTTAACGATATCGGTATCTGTCAAAATATCATTCTACCAATAAAGTTATTATTTCTAGCTACATTTACATTTTTAGAAATTTTATAGAAAAATTATATAATTTATATTTATAGAATTATAGAAATTCGTTCTTCATCTTATTTTATTACATATACATGATATGGTATATACATAATTGTAATATTTATATTTTCATGATTATGATTATGATATGGATAATATGGATATTATTCAATGATAATATCTTTGGAGGGAAGGAACAAGGGATTGGATGATTAATCGAACCGAGTTAATGATAATAATTTCCAGTGAATCGAAATATATAATCCATTCCACTTTTTTAATGTAAATCAGTATTGCACGTGGGTTGTAAAGAAGCGATAATTGGTCTCACTTCTATAATTTAATGTTGTACATCAAAGAATAATTATGACAGTAATATTATGTCATTTTTCATCGTTTAACTCTAATTCGCTGTACATAATATTGGAAAATTGTTTACACACATAAATAAGAGGGAATGAGATAAATACTTGTTTATTTGGTATTGTTTTAAAAAATGTTTATATTTGTAATATTATAATATTTCTTGATGTTAATATCTTTTTGTACTATTAATTTTGCTTGTTTCAGATAACGTTAAGATATTAGTTAAACCAGGGCATATACGTACACATTAAAATGGTGATTATGAATGAATATATTATTTTACAAAAGAATAGAATGATTATTATGTATAATGTTGTTATAACGTCTTGCAGGATAACAAAGCGCCGACGGAAATGGACACCTTCCTGCCCCAAGATGGGTCCATGGATGGTGTATTGTCCAAGTAAGAATTCATCATATAGTCTCAATTTATTTATTGTCTCGAGTTAATTAATTTCAATTAATATTAATTGAAGAAATCTCGTTAGTTAAAGTATTATCATGAAGCGTAATAGCCTTGCTGATTTCGATAATCAAAAATATTAAATAGACTGAAACTTACTCGGTGTCAGCATGATAATTATACTATAATTCTTGCAGATACAAAGTGCAAGTCGCTATACGAGATATAGAGACCGGACAGGGTGATGGAAAAAGTTTCGATCCCTTTAGTGAACGAAGAATTGATAACCCGACGACGTAAGTTGCGATAATGCAGTCGATATAAAAATGTTTAATAAATCGCTTTTAACTTTTATACTGAACACTCATGGTCGTGATATCTAGACAAAAAGAAGCAATGTATATCACTATCTGTGTTGTATAATGTTAAAAAATATAGTGCTTAAAGACCACACACACACATTGTAAACAATATATTTACTATCAAATAATTACACCAATAATTTCTTTCCAGGGACGGTGATACGTTAACACACTTATTAAAAGCAGCGCTTGGAACGGGTATATTATCCATGCCAATTGCTTTTAAAAATGCTGGGCTTGTCGTCGGTGTATTTGCCACAGTTCTAGTGGCATTTGTATGCACACATTGCGCATATATTTTGGTAAATAAATACCAAGATGTTAAGTACCGAAGTAATAAATTAAATTACGACAATAAACTGAATCAATATTTTAGGTAAAATGTGCACATGTTCTTTATTACAAAACAAGGCGCACAGAGATGAGTTTCGCCGATGTAGCAGAAGTAGCATTTGCTACGGGGCCGCAATGGGGTAGAAAATTTTCAAAGCCAATCAGGTAAAATATCTGGAAAAATATCAATAATGAAATACAAATTTATATTTATATTTATAAATTCGTTAAAAATATTTAAGAAATCTTGATTTTAATACAACACACTAATAGCCAATATATTGTCTGTAGGTACCTCATACAGATTAGTTTATTTGCAACATACTTTGGCACCTGCAGTGTGTACACAGTTATCGTTGCTGCGAATTTTAATCAAATCATTAAGCATTACCATGCGGAATCTGAGATCAGTCTCCGGTTGATGGCAGCCTGTTTATTGATTCCAATGATACTCCTTAGTTGGATTCCGAATTTGAAATATCTTGCACCTGTTTCCATGGTGGCCAATATATTTATGGGATCAGGTTTAGGAATAACATTTTATTATTTAGTCTGGAATATGCCACCCATCACGTCTGTGCCTTTATTCGCGTCCATCGAGGACTTCCCACGATTCTTCAGCATTACTATCTTCGCAATGGAAGCAATAGGTATTGTATGATTATTTAAATAAATATTTATTATGTGTTTTTACTAAGAGGATGGTGTTCTAGGAGTTGTAATGCCATTGGAGAATAACATGAAAACACCCCAACATTTTGTTGGAATTTGTGGTGTTCTTAACAAAGGAATGTCCGGAGTTACGCTTATCTATATTTTACTCGGATTCTTAGGATATGTAAAATATCAAGACCAAACATTAGACAGTATCACGCTAAATCTACCAACAGAAGAAGTGTAAGGATTATAATAAATGACAACGGAATTCTTAAGTAACATGATTGTGTTGCAATTATTTGTTATATATGTATATATATATTTTTTTTCTTTAGAGCGGCTCAAGTTGTAAAGATATTAATAGCTCTTGCTGTTTATTGTACATTTGGACTACAATTTTATGTTTGCCTTGATATTGCATGGAATGGTATAAAAGATCGATTTCAGAAAAAGCCACTGTTAGCAAATTACATTTTAAGAACAGTTATGGTCACAGGAGCAGGTGTGTATTTTAATTTTTAACAAAAATTTTTTTATAAGATATGCATTAAGTTCATAAATGATAATTTTACAATTCTAAAAATTTAAAAAAATCTCTTTATATGTTACAGTTTTATTGGCTGTGATTGTACCAACTATCGAACCTTTTATTGGATTGATTGGTGCATTTTGTTTTTCAATATTAGGACTCTTAATTCCTGTATTCGTCGAAACTGTAACTTATTGGGATGTTGGTTTTGGACCTGGAAATTGGGTAGCATTGAAAAATGTAATCATATGCATCATTGGTCTCATGGCCTTAGTTTTTGGATCTCGCAGCGCATTAATACAAATCGCGGCACTTTATAGTTAAAAAAAATTGGTTTTCTAATTGTAGATATTTCAATATCCCTAACTTTAAAACTGTTTGGGAGTCATTTGACAGATTTTAATGCAATAAATTTCTGATAATTTTATTATTTTACGCAGACAATCACGAAAATCAAAATGGGATATAAATTGAAAATATTAATTTATTTTATAAGATATATTTAATTAGAAGTTTGGAAAAATTTTATATCAGAAATTTAGATACAATTATATTATGCTTACAAGTGCTCTAGTAAGATAGAATGAATTTTAACCAATATAATGTCAGTTGTTGTGCAAATGAGAGCTTGAAGAATGAGAAATTCGAAAAGCGACATTCGGTATAGTTAAAATAATAATAATAACCTACGCACAAACAACGTATATTATTGGGTGAGGAAGGTTATATGAAAAGATTTAATAATTATCAAATGAAATTTCAAAATATATCAAGTAATGTACTTTGTTCCTAAAGTATAACATGTAGTGTATTCTCTATTTATTAATTCGCGAAAAAACTAGACTGAGAGAAGTTGTCAGTATTTAAAAGAAATATTTTACATTGGAGCAATACGTTATAAATAATTTTAATTGATGTTCTTTATTTAATAAGCAAACTTTTTATTTTATAGTGATAAATTACGTTTCAAATATAATTGTATCCTATTTGGAATATATTCTAATAGATTTAAAGAAATTTTAAGTACAATTAAAATTGATAAAAATTGTTAATATATAGAGAGATATGTTTGTGTTATAAATTTTATAAATTAACAATCAAATCTCAAAATATAACCTTCGTTTTTTTCCTAAATTTATGATAATACATATTGTTGTAACGTTTAAGACATTTATAAGCAGGACATGTTTTACATGTGTGATTCACAGTATAAAAAATGTTTCACTTTTCTGTGTTGCATTTAATACGAATGTATATTTAAAAGAAATCATAATCTTTTTGAAGCAATTTTTGCTTAATGAACTTGTTAAACCAATCGATTTTTTATACAATTGTTGGAAATTTTTACATTCATGATTAAAAAAAAAAGAAATAGTGAAATGACAATTTTTAAATACAAATCATTTTATAATATTTTCCATATACTTTATTCTACCTTATTTCTATACATTTCTTAAAAAACATAGCATTATTGCTAAATATGTATATAAATATGACACAAATTGACACATGTACAATTTGTATTTTAATATTTAAAGTGAAATGAGAAAATAAAAGTACCATATTGTTATTTTTCTAATGGTGCGTAATTTAAAAGCTTTTCAATTAAGTCTACATGTCCAAGAAGCATTCTGCGACAACAATATCGTTTTAATCCCAATGCATCAAGAGCATCTCTGTAACATACACATGTTATAGTTATACATTAGTAATTGCAATATTAGTAATATCGATAATATTTGAATAATAATTTAAATATAATAATCAAATACAACATTTAAATATTTTATTTTATAAATAATATTTATAGGAATAATTATTACATTATTTTTGTTATATTATTTTATTACTTTAATATATATTCGCAAAATTTAAAATGAATTGAAAATTGACATAGGAATTATAATCTCTATACAATTAAGGTTAGATCCCTTGTTAATGTTAACAAGTAGTATATAAATTACATTATATTACATTATTAACAAATAGTATATAAATTACATTATATGTATTATATTTAATATCTTATCTACTTTCTATTTCATTTATTTTCACAGTTCAATATGATATACTTGTATATATACTTACCCTTCTGTGTATTCGGCTTGTAACAAGCCAAGATACGCTTCCCATTTATTACCGATTACTTTTCCACAAGTGAAACAACGTACAGGTATAATCATTGTGTTTTGAATTTGATTAAACAATTAAATTTTATCAGTTTCAAATTGGTATAATCGTTGTTAATAAACTTAGATGCAACGTGTTTAACAGAGGGAATAGAACTTGCACGTTCTCGAACATACGACGATTTAAATTACAATACACAACTGAAACGTTTGAAGTCGCTCAAGAATATTTCTAGTCAGTGTTGCCAATATAATCACTAATATAGAAGTACAGTTATAAATGGATCGACCAAGAAGATTATAATATTGAAGAGAACTTCATGTATTTATCTCACAGCTCATATATTAAATATTAATATCTTTTGTTAATAAAATAAAATATGTGTTGTAAAATAAGTAAAATAAAATTAGAACATCAAGGGAAGATACATTATAATTAATAGATAACTATATAATATACAATTTAAATACATAAGAATAAGTAAAGCGATCGCATGTTTGTAACTGTCTTATAACAAAAGTAACTGATTCTAAAATTGTATTTCAAATTTACTTTTAATACAAGAAATATATATTTTTCTTTTCGTTTTTCTCTATTGTAAATCACTTTAATTTCCTTTTTAATAATTATGCCTATTACTATAGATGTTTCCTAAAATTTTAATACACTGTACTAAATACAGTGATTAGATATCAATATGGATATTTCAATTACGACGCAATAACATAATCATGCATAACAAACAGTTGAATATTTTCATTTTTCCTTATTCGATTCTTATTAATAATGTATTACATGAATTTGAAAATCATTGAGGAATATTACAAACAATTTGTCGTGTTAATACTAGAAACTTCAAATAACTTGATTAATATTAGAAACTTCAAATTTATTTTTTCGCTTATATTACATACTTTTTCATATATATTCTTTTTGTACAGTAATTGATAGCTCTAATCTCAACACGTTCCATGACGCATTAATACCTTTTACAAAATTTTATCAATAAGAGAAAAAAGAAAAAAACAAAATCGTGAAATATTTTCTCGTATCATCTACGTAGTTACAATATATATGTCGCAATACATTTATACATTGGACTTTTTACAAGAATAATTTTTGCTATTGCGAAACATGATTTATTTATAATACTTATATCGCGTGAAAGATATCAATGATCTACATAACATGAACAATAAAAATAATCTAAAATGATAAAATAAATATAATACGAGATCTGCCAAGAAATAACAATAGATGATAAAAAAATAGATGTAAGTTTCAAAAGTAGAATGATAATTGGTAAGAACGTTCGAAAAGTAAATACACAGGTTTACGTCTCGCGCGCCAGGAGACAAGCTGTAGCAAAGAGACAGCTGCTCCGATCGAAGGACATGAATAGAGGGGGTGGAAGGGAGAGAGGGACAAAGAAAAATACGAGGCTGAAGCAAAGGGAGAACACCATAAACATACAAGCTCGGATTGGTTCTGCTTTCTCCTTTGTCTACTAGTCTGCTGGATGGAAACATGTTATAATACGGTCAGGCTGTTATCAAATCACCATTTTAATTGTTGTTTTTCATTGCGCGTGTTTACGGTGTTGTATCAGAGACCGGAGAGGTCGGAATTTTGGCGCCGTATTACCGACGCGACATCAGTGACAGTGTAAATGGTTATGTTAGCCGAGCGTACTTTCCATACGCGTTTTATCGTATACATTCCCGTATTATATCGTTTTCGGTATCCCTGTTGCACAATCGTACGGACTTTTAATCGAAATTGTGATCACGGACGAATACCTCGCATCAGCAATAACGTGGAGTCAAGGTTATATCCTGTGCGTCTTTTTCGCTCGTATTGTCAAAATCAGCTGCCATTACTATAGCGTACGATTCTACTTGTTCTTTTCGGTTTTCCTTTGTTTTCTTACTTGAGCTGTGCTCATCGTTCCGGAAATTTCATTCAGAATTCACATTTTGTTGTTATGTCTAGCCGTACGTAGCCATACGCGGCAAGTTAATGCCTTCGTTTATATTTTATATTGAATTTATGTATCACTGATTTTACGAACACAGCCGGACATCAGAGTAAACTTCAACTAGTGTTTTTCTATATTTTACGAATAGATTGTAATTTCTTTGTATATATACGCGTATTACTTATTTGTTCAATAATATTGTATTCCCTTTTCTTTTTTTTTTATGAAAATAGTTAAAATTGTTATCTGGCATGTGTTTAGAAGATAGTAATGTTTTTAACTTTGAATTTTATCACAGAAGAACAAATGAATTAATTTTTTGACAAAGCACAAGTCATTATTTGCACTTTACATATATTATATAGTTTTCTGAATGCGATATTGATGAATATCTATTGTTACAAAGTGGTAGTAAATGATAGTTGAAATTAATATATAGAATATATAATTATAATTGTATTTTTTATTTGTATTCATAATTTTATAAGATATGTTGCAGGCTTTGGAGACTGATGTTATATTGTTCACCTGTGTAACAAGGAAATATAATTACGATAAAGCACATTTCTTAGTTCTCACTGAAAGAAATAGGTGGAGAAGAATTTTTAACAGATAGAAAAATACAAATAGTAGAAGTGAGGGTGAAGCGTAGTAAATGCAGTGGTTGAGGAAAAGATGGACCCATCAATGTTTGTTGCATACACCCCTCAAACAAATGGCGTTCCATTGGAGTCCAAGCTTGCTACCTACATGGTATTCGTCTGCAATTTATTAACGATCCTGATAAAAATATTTTTTTAATATTCATTATATAATTAGATATACTATTGAAATCTATTGATTTACCATATGTTAATATAATATTTAAAGGCATGTTATCATAATATTTTTATTATGTATTTTTTTAATAGAATCGTCAAAGTCCAGGGGTAACTCTAAATACAACAGCTGTTACAAAACATTTATCAAACCTTTCTCTGGATTCACAGAAAAAGGTAACTGCCAGTCCAGAATTTGTACCTGGTAGAGGTCTTACTAGTAGTAACAGCAGTTCTCCGAATCTTTTCAATAATTCTTATCACTCACAAGAGAATGTGGGTGGTACAACATATTTTTACCTTGGAAATGCAGCAACTGATACTGTTGGAACTGAGGAAGCGACTGAAACTGTAAGTAAATGTGGGAGTTCAAAAAGATTTTTTATTACATCTATTCAATTAAGCAATGAATTAATTAACGCTTTTTTATGGGTAGATTGGAAATGTGGGAGCAGGTCAGATAGGCTATGTCTATCCAGGTACTCCAGCACACCTTCAGCCAGTAAAATCTACAAAACCTCCATCATCTAATAGTTCTTCTGCCCCCTCAACCCCTCCTCCTCAAGCAACTCCCAGTTTCTTTGTCAGTGAGAGTTTAAGAATGGATATTCTCCAAAAAAATGCTTTAACATTAGCACAACCTGATGTAATACGATTTCCTGATCTACCAAACGAGGTGGATAATTATCATGAGTTGTGTCCATTGGAACCAATTCATAAACCTGCTTCGACCATGCTTGGATATCAAACTTCAACGTACAAAGCTACCAGCATTAAGAGCGGAACACGTTATTGTCTACGACGTATACATGGTGAATATCTTTATACGCTTACCAATTATTATAAAAAGTATTGAAAATGTGAAACTGGTAATGAAATAAGCATTTAATATGTTTTTAGATTTCAGACTTGCTAATACAAAGTGTATGGTGCTGGTAGATATGTGGAAACGATTATCGCATACGAATTTGGTGCAGTTAAGAGAAGTTTTTACCACCAAGGCTTTTGGCGACCATTGTCCGTATTAATATTTTAAAATGAAATCGTAAAATGTACTTTTATGAAACAATTTTTTTATTATTTTAGCCATGGTATTTGTTTACGATTATCATCCCGGATCGGAAACATTATTAACTAAGCATTTCTCATCGACCGAATTAAATGGTTATACAGATCCATTTTCTTCGGATCCAAATGCTCCCCGACCTTATAGTCATACTAAAAATACTATTTTAAGACAACAACACAGCAGTATGCTACCAGAAAGTGTTATATGGAGCTACATAATTCAACTCACTGCCGCACTTCGTGTTATACATGCTGCTGGTTTGTATCTATCAATTATATTACTATGCATCTTGCTTATCATTGCCTAGATAATTATAACATTTTTTTGTTTCGATGATTTCATAGGTTTGGCATACAGATGTTTAGATCCTACAAAAGTGTTACTCACGTCGCGAACGAGACTTCGTTTAAGTTGTGTGGCTATACCAGATGTTGTTACTTTTGATGGAAACACAGCAAATCCACTTTCGCTTATACCACACTATCAACAAGAAGATTTAATTGCCTTAGGGAAGTTGGTGTTGGCATTAGCATGTCGCAGTCTCCTTGCCGTCCATCGCGATAACATGCAAGCCTCCCTTGAGCTCGTCGCACGTTCCTATTCTACAGATCTTCGAAACCTTATCCTGTTTGTATACATTTTATCTTTCTCACAGACTTCTCTTATTTAACATTATGTGTAATACATTTTTTATCAATCTAACATATTTCATTGCTTGTTCTGATTTATTTTTAATCATCTTGAAATAATACTATTCATATGAGATAGTTTTTGTTATGAAATTGAATGAAAGAAGAGCGACGTATCTTATGACATATATCTGTATTCGTGTTGCTGTATATGCTCATATACGAATATAATTTTACTACAGGTATTTACTTTCTAATCAAACACGAAGAAGTGTAACAGATCTCATGCCAATGATTGGAGCACGATTTTATACACAATTAGATGCAGCTCAGCTTCGATCTGATGTATTGGAGAATGAAATTGCCAAGGAATTAGAAAACGGGAGATTATTTAAGTTACTTGTAAAGCTGGCTACTATTAACGAAAGACCCGAACTTAATATGGAACCTACATGGGCAGAAACTGGTGACCGATACATGCTCAAATTGTTTAGAGATTACGTTTTCCATCAGGTAGCAGCTGATGGAAGACCATGGTTGGATATGGCACATGTTGTATCTTGTTTAAATAAGTTAGATTCAGGTTCTCAAGATAAGGTATACGGTTTTTTTTTTAAATCATTTTTTTATTTCCAATTCTTTTGTTCTCAAATAACTTCAATTCTTTTTAGTAATATACAAGTAATTAAAACAATGCAATATTGAAGAGTGTTGTATAATTCTTCAATATGTATTTCTAAATGTATTCTTCTAATATTACAGATATGTCTTATGTCGAGAGACGAGCAGACTGTATTAGTAGTTAGTTATGCAGAGTTACGACAATGTTTGGAAACTTCATTTGGAGAGTTAGTACAATCTGCAAAAGAAGCTGTTTAGGTCCGTGTCACATTTTTTCTCAGCCGACCAGACAGTACATACTCCGAACCATAAATGTGATATCATTTAGCGGTACTATCATTTTAATCATGATCAAGACATAGGAGAGTGAGATTCGGCTCGAAAATTAAGTTTGTGAAAATAGCATGTGAACCAGTTTGTAAGCATGATTACAAGTATGAAATTGATTAAATACATGCAAAATACATTCTGGTATCGTCATTTGAATGTAATATATGTGTGTGTAAGGAGATTATGTGATGATGTGTAAATCAGAAAGTGCTTGATCTTTCTGTAAAACTGGTACTATATAAAAAAAAAAAACAAAAATTGTACACAACTTAATAATGCAATGAAGTCTTAAGAAATCTTGAGAACGAAAAAACCTAAACACAGTCAGTGTTATAGGATAGATCTTAGTTTTTAGGATACAGCTGGTAAGCATTAATTTTGAAATAAATGTTTATTTTTGAAAGCAATCTTAATCAAACCTGTGTAATTATTTCGAAGTGGTATATTATTAAGAATCCATTATAATATCTCTAATAATATATTTTTATATTTTAAGTGTCAATAATTATTACAAATATTACTCGTAAACGATGCTTACATAAATGTACACTTACTCGTAGAAATCTGGTACTTCGTTTGTTCCAGTTTATCCAGCTGGCAATCTGTAAGTTCGGTTCTTGAACTGTCCTATCTCCATTCCCTGCCTCTCTTCTCTCTTCGACTGCTGTCCGCAATCACTCAAACTTGATCTCATTTCCTTCGCACAATTGCACGACCGCAGTACGAGCAGACTTTTGCATACACACACACACTCATCGTACACATGGTCGTCGCTAGCGGTTTATTCGTGAAATGCAACCTTAAACTTATGCATGTATTTTTCAACGAGCTATACGAGTTCAAAGGTAATACCCATATATATTTTAAATAACAATTTTCGTACATATAACTTGTAACGAACGAAAATTGCGTAATTACATGATTACAATATGTGTCACATTATTCCTCATTTCTAATGCTCCGTATCGACGCCCATGCATTTATCCTACGTACGTCCTGTGCTTCGAATAAGTGTTCAACTTATACGTGCATATGTGGCTGACCGTGGAGTTAAAATAAAAGGCATATTAGACATCTGTTTCTGTCCAAGACACGTCAACCGACTCGGCTGAACTCGTCGTTCTCCATCTAATTGTCTTAATACCGACGTGATTTACTCCCCCGTACCGTGTCACTTCTGACAATCACTTCTCGTATACATATCAAGCATGTACACCTAGTATGATTGCGTGTAAGTCTTCATTTTATTCGACATCAACCCGCTAACCCAGAGACGTCACGCTAACATCGAGGATATAGTTTTTTTTTACTATCACATTTAACAATAATGTGTATCTTTTTATAAAAAAAAATAATATTTGTCGTTATTAATGATTTTGACGTCATTAATTTTGTAATAATATTTTTATCAGAAAATATCTTTAATATTAGAAATGGTCAGTTCATAATTTTTCATATAAATTTTATGATAAATACATGTATATATATATATATATATATATAT